AGTAGATATCAGGATATTGAGAACTGGTAGCCATAAATTTTATTTATTTTTCTTCTACTATGGAACTGATGATACTATATTTTAAATTATCATTTTGTCACATTAAATATTGAATACATTGACATTTTATTTAGTGTACTAACCTTTGAAGCTTTTTCTTCCATTGCCAGTGGTGACTGTCGTCCATGTCACAGCCTCTATTTTTAAAAATAGTTAGCTGTAAATTAACAAAATGTTTGCTTTTATAAGCAAAGCAGATTTCTTGTGGCAGGACATCTGTACTGCATTCAGATTAGTGTCGGGTAAACAACTTTCTTTTGAGAAGGCCTCAAGCAATGTAGGCCTGGCAGAAGAAATAATATGCTGCACCGATGACAGGCACAAAATGTCTTATTACTGTACTCTGCTAAAAGGTAATATTTATAGGGGAAGATTTTCAAATGTGCAGTTAATTCATAAATGCATACAGTACAAACTGGAACACAGAAAACTATGAGTGATTGGGGCTGCATAAGGTCAGTACAGTAAAGTTAAATATGGTAAATGCAGCTTTCATGGAAACGCAGACAGCTTTCATAGAACGTGAAGTAAAAGTGGGATGGTTAAGTGGAGGAAATGGAAAAGTAGTGTTAAGTGGTATAACGGATGATGAGAACAATGTAGTTTGAATTATACATACTATATTTTTTATGTAGTGCATTAATGTTAACAAGCACATCACTGGATTTATTAATGCATTGGTAAATGCAAAAATTAATATTAACTGCAGTAAATAATAAATACTGTACAAGTATTATACAAGTATACAGTGATCCATTCAATTTAAAGGGCACCTATGGTGAAAAATCTAGTTTTGAAGCTGTTTGGACAGACATGCGTATGTGTAGATATTAGGGGTGTCATGATTCTCCAAATCCTCGATTCGATTACATTTTCGATTCTTAAGTCACGATTCGATTAGATTTTTGATTATGAATAATTAATTAATTAATAACAAATGAATTATTTGTAGCCTACCGTTTAAACGTTTAAACTACCTGACCTGTATGGTCTTTGTTTTACCCATAAACAAATCATACAGTAAATAAAGGCAAGTAAGTGTATAGACCGTCATATTGGGGTGATAAACACACAGAGTCCTTTTTATTTTCAATTTAACAGCATAAAAACAGTGGACCAATTGGATCGGTTTTCAGATCGACCGCAACTTGTCTTAGGAGTGCGGTCCTCCCGCTCACCGAATTGATTGGCATCTGCACGTATTAACATGTCCCGGTAATTACGTGTCATGTATAATCATATAAACAAGACAGGACATGTGCAAAGCAACCAGGAATGAAAGGTCTGTTCAGTTCGCTAGGATCATCAATCATCATCAAATCAGGAGTGATCAGGAGTAAGTTTCACACATTTAAAATGTTTTAAAACAATGCATGTGTGTAATGAAGTACAGCGATTTACTTCAGCTTTACTTCATCAGCACAGCCGCGTGTCAGAACAATTTTAAAGGAAGACGCTTCAATCCCGGTTTGTGGAAGTTAAATCAGGTTTATTTTGTACACTAATATAACAGATATCCATACAGCAGTGGAGATGACCCATTACCCATTAATAGTAAGGTGTACCTAATAAAGTGGTCGGCGAGTGTATTTCTCTTCTTTAAATCTTCTTCCTCGACTAGTAAAATGTTTATGTAGGGATTAAGCTGATAGCATGTTTTAAACCTTATTGTGGCATTCCTTTTGTTATTTTTTATTTATCTTTATTAAATTTTTTATATATCTTTTATATTTTTATTATTTCTACTTGTATTTTTAATATGTAGTCTGTTTTGGATTGGTTGAGGAAAGATTATGAATAATAAAAAATAATTTCTGCTCAAAAAATGGGATTTGTGTTTGGAATTAAAAATAATGAGAGGAAAATTGGAGACTAGTAGGAGAAAAATTGAGTAGAAGTAGCTCAATGAAGTTAAAAGTTAAAACTGCTTGATATATCTGCTTTATGTTTGTATTGAGCAAATATCTGGTAGAATTCTTTTGCTCGGGTAGAAAAAATGTTTGTCCAATTTAAAAGCATCATCTTGGCTCCAGCTTTTGCTTTAATGGCAGCATCGTTCAAACTGCATAAACGAAGGCTTGATGATCATGTTGATTTGGGAACGCTTCAGAGAATCTTGCTCTCACTGTAGATGAATGCTTTTCTTTTGAGAAATGAATGTTTTATTCAGCGAGGCTTCATTAAATTGATCACGAGAAAGAAAATACTTGACACTGTGAATACAGAAAATTATATTGCAGATAAATGTTAAATGTGTCATTTCTTTGTCTCCCCTTTTAATTAGCATTAGTTGATTAATTTGTGCTGTTTTCAATATTGATGATAATCAGAAATTATTCCAAAGCACCAAACCAGCTTATTATAATGATTTCTGAATGATCTAGTGATGCTTAAAAATTCGCTTTACGTCACTCACAATAATAATAGTAATAATAATTAAAAAATGTTATGAACTGATGTTTAAATTCTAATCCAGTTGATTAGAATTTATGATGACAGCTAAGAAAGTGAAACCAAAAGCTGAATTTCGGACATTTAAGGGGATTTAGAAACCCTGGACGGACACATTTTTATGTCTCAAAAGGCACATCTCAGGGTCTCTGCAGGGCACGTAAGATAGACAGTTCTTGCTCACACACAATGATAAATAGGAAACGTGTAGGGCGAGATGAGATTTTCCACTAGTTAACTGATCGCTGATGTTTTGCTGTTACAAAAATTGTAAAAAAATTTCACCATATATACATGGGTGGTCGTTAATATACCTGGGCAGTCTGCCCAAGTAAAGTCTATGTGTGGTAAGCACTGTCGTGCAGCCCTACCTCGTTCATATGTGGAAATTTATCTGATATGAATTGGATATATGTCCTCTCTTGTTCACTGTGTAAGCAGGTAGATTGGATTTTTAATGTGAGTCATGAAAAACTGTAGCAAATGACATGAAATCTTACGCTTTCATTTCCGAACAGTTATTCATTCATTCATTCATTTTCCATCGGCTTAGTTCCTTATTTATTATGAGTCGCCACAGTGAAATGAACCAATGAACCCCCAACCATTCCAGCATATGTTTTATGCAGTGGATGCCCTTTAAACCGCAACCCAGTACTGAGGAACACTTATACACACTCATTCAAAACACACTCATACACTATGGCCAATTTAGTTTGTCCAATTCACCTACACCGCAAGTCTATGAATTGTGGAGGAAACCGGAGCTTCAGCATGAGTTCCAAACTTTAAATCTCATATACAAGAACAAAAAAAAACTTTCATATTGTCTATGTAAAAACATTTTGCATTTAATTGTCTTAATAAAAGATAGAGAGAGAGAGATTGAGTGCGAGCTCCACATCCACCATGTAAGCAATATAATTTAATTTAAAACTATTGCATACATCACGTGAATAAATCATGCCATAGACATGACATTAAAATGCCTGCAGGTTTGAAAAAGCCTTGATTAAAAGAAGATGGCTGTCATAAACTATAAGAAATTAACTTGTCAAAAAAAGATAAGCTTGGCAGCAGTGTCAAGAGAAAAAACTAACTGCAATATATATAGCCCTTTGAATTTGTACTCCACGTACATTTATATATATATATATATAAATATAATATTATTATATATATATATATACATATATATATATATATATATATATATTTTTTTATTTTTATAGAAAGATCTTTTCAATACGTTTCGAAACTTAATAGTTTGAATAACAAATTTCTAGTAAATGATTTCTTGAACTTTAGCATGATGACATTTTATGATGAGTACGCAATAGTTTGCTAGATATTTTTCAAGATACTGGTATTCAGCTTAGTGACTTTTAAAGGCTAAACTAGGTTAATTAGGCAAGTTAGGGTAATTAGCCAAGTCATTAGCCCCTTTCACTGTGATACCGTTAAATATCCAGAAAATGCCCGGAGCAACTTTTCCGGTAAATTAAAAAACGATGTTTAATTTTCCGGAAAAGACCATTCACACATCCATTTTGAAATGCTGGTATATTCTGACATCATTAACCTTAAATGGCCTCTAAATGGGTAAATCTAGATCGGATACGCGACCGGCCAGAGGTGTGATATGCACATCATTATAGCAGCATTTTTTTATTGAAACTTTATAACAATAATTTATATTTTTTACAGTACTGTGATGTTGGGTTTAGGATAGGGTAAACATTAAAAAATACAATTTATTGGGTAATTTAATAGATAGCATAAATAATACTCTGTACAACTACTGTTTTTACATTACTGTGACGGTTGGGTTTAGGGTTGGTGTGGGGGTAGATGTTAATAAATTACAATAAATGGGACATTTAATAAATAATATAAATAATTCTCATTCATTTCCGGCCGCTACCATATACAATCCAGCAACAACTCTAAACGGCTGAGCTTGTATCTGTAAACATAGAAGAATCCATCTCGCACGTCCTCAATGAGGTCATGTGAAAACAACCTATTGTTTCCCATTCGTCACCTGTGAATAAGCTGTCCGTTTATTTTCCCACTTAGATTTTCCGTCACAATTATTTCCAGCCATCAGTTATAACAGCTTGGCATAGATAAGAGATGAGACCCATGGGACCTTTTTTTTTTCGGACAAAATTTTCTAACAAAAAGGGGTTCTTTTGAAACCCCTTTAACACAACTTCATTACAAGGGAATATTGCGATTAAAATCAATACAAGTCAAAAACTGCTTTGGCTAATGTAGGGCCAATAAAAAAAGGATACTCTATGCCATACTCTATAAATCAACATGAATGATTTCCCCTTCCACATCAGTTCTGAAACAGTCTCTGTATTTGAACAGATCCGAAACATACAAAGCTGTTGATTGATATTGTGAGTGCATGTCTGAATGGTTTGTTGGGTATGCGTGTCTCTTTAATGTTCTCTAAATCTGTTGTGCGTATTCTACAGAGCGTGGTGATTTCTTGGCATTGGATCTGGGCGGCACAAACTTCAGGGTGCTCTTGGTGCGCGTTCGAGGTGGGAAAAGACGAAACGTGGAGATGAATAATAAGATCTACACCATCCCTCAAGACATTACGCAAGGCACAGGCGAGGAGGTAGGCCTTGTAATCACGCTGCACTTCATTAAAATCCATTCAGGATGAGAATTAGCTACATTCATTTGCGAGGTGGTGGCGCTGCTGTAGGATCAGGTTAGTAGAAGATGACGTCTGTTCACTGTGTGTCAGTAATAGGGATGAATGATTTTGGAAAGTAATCTAATTGCTTATTATTATTATTATTATTAATATTATTGTCATGTAAATATAATGATAATAAATAACACTTTAATAATTATAATAATAATAATAGTAATAAATATTGTCTATAAAACACTAAGACTAATAATAAAACAACACTTATTATTATTATTAATAATAATAATATTGTCAATAAATAGAATTATAATAAAATAACACATTATTATTATTATTATTATTATTATTATTATTATTATTATTATTATTATTATCGTCATCTATCAATATTTTAATATAAGATTTTTTATCACAATATTTTGTTAATAATAATAATAATAATAATAATAGATTATGCACATTAGAGCTGCACAATTAATACACTCATTAAAAAAAATAAACGGAACGCTTAACCAACACAATGTAACTACAATTCAGTTACATTAATGTGATGAGCCTGACTGCCATTAGGTACCAAGACAATATCCTCCGACCTCTTGTGAGACCATGTGCTGGTGCGGTTGGCCCTGGGTTCCTCCTAAAGCAAGGCAATGCTAAACTTCATGTGGCAGGAGGGTGTCAGCAGTTCCTGCAAGAGTAAGTCATCGATACTATGGACTGACCTGTCCATTTCCCAGATCAGAATCCAATTGTGCACATCTGGCACATCATGTCTAGCTCCATCCATCAGCACCATCTTGCAACACAGACTGTGCAGGAGTTGGTGGATGCTTTAGTCCAGTCTGGAAGGAGATCTAAGGCAACCGCATCAGGGGCCTCATTTAATTGGAGTATTTCATGCGTTCAGATCTAGGTTGTGTTATTTTAGTGTTCCTTTTATTTTTTGAGCAGTAATTAAAATATGAGTTCAAACACACACACTATCTTATTTTTAAATTACAACAATTTGGCTATGTCTATTAAAGGAATGCTCCACTTTTTTGGGAAAAGACTTATTTTGCAAGTAATATTTACATTTTTAGCTTTGCCCAGCTTAGCATCAATAATTTAATCTGATTAGACCATTAGCATCTCACTCAAAAAAAAATTAATAGTCTTAGCACACGATGTAACAACAGCAGAGTCAAGCTTAAAAAAGGAAAATGATTAAGTCGTTGGTCATTTTCGATTTACATGCTAATGGTCTAATCTGATTCAGTGATCTATGCTAAGGCAAGGCAAGTTTTTTATATTGCATATATACATGCATACATTTCATACACAATGGCATTTCAAAGTGCTTTACATAAACAGGAATAAAAGAGACAAGTTTAAATAAAAACAAATAATACAGAAACAGAAGAAAACAGAAGCTGCAAAATGGCACACTATGCACTCATGCACTATGTACTTATGCACTTACACACTCAACAGCATAGTATATGCATGTAGTGTTGTCCCAAATGGCACACTAATGTTTTTTTTACTAAGTGGAAATTTAATGACAGTTTCCCTAAGACATTTGACGGTTGCTAAATCAGTGAAATAAATGACCAAACTATTAAATAATACCCGTCATGAGCATAACCGCATTTACCATCGGTAGGCGCTATAATCACTTTCGAGAGAGAATTTTGCTTTCTCAATCCAAAATAAAAATAGTTATCAAACATGCACGCCCGATAGCTCAACCCCTTCCTCTAAGTGAGCAAACCTGTGGTCGTTGAGTGTGTGTAGTGTCCGTCATTCCACACTTCATTTTACCGGCTGAATGAGTGCATCATTAAAGTGCTCTTATTATTTTTAGAGTTTTCAGTGTGAACGCACTATTTACGTTGTTTATACTACAAAATGGCGTAAAATAGTGCATAAGTATGCGATTTTTTGACGCAGCTAGAGTAAAGACAGTTTTTCCATATTCCACTGGTGTATCATATTTTCTCATTTTACTCTGGGACTTCCCTATTCTGCTGATCGGTGAAATGGTAAAACTCACCTGTTTTGCTCTAGGGGAGTTTTAAAATGAGCCTTTTTTTCAACAAATGTGCAGTGCTCATTTAAGTCGATTAGTATTAAAATGTAGTTTGGGCAGCAGAAAACAACGCTAAATAGAAATAGACCTTCAAAATGTTTTCGTTTTCCCAACATATAGACAGATAGTCTAAAACACATTGTATGTTCAGATTCCTGTTGTAGTGTAAATGCTCAAGTGGATTTAAAAACAAGACAAAAGACCACCCACTCTTCACCTACTGACCTCATTGTTAAACATGCGTTGTTGAACTTTGCCCTCAGTACTCACTAGTGTGGTTTAAAGGTGGAAAATGTAACTATTCTTATACCAGTCCTGATTCTAAGACGAACAGCAGCAACAGCATATAGATTTGTAATATTAGAGCATAAAAACTAAAACGGATGCTCTTGGTATTGTTTTGCATCTCGTTTTATCTTCATACACTTAAAGCCATATTCAGTGGATTCAGCAATACTAGAAAAATAAGCTCAGGAGATCTTTGAATATCCCTTAAGAGATGTGGAAAGAAAATTGAAGTGTCTTAAAACTGCTATACATACGTTTTACTTTCACAAAAATAAATTAATTATTAATACGGATTAGTTTTTTTTTTTTTTTAAATGTAGGCTTGCACACATGAAATAGTGCATTGGTTTTAATTAAATACAGGTTTGTGAATGCTTCGTTTTATTAGTAACACTTTAGAACAGGGGACACAGATTATAGAACAATGAATAATACATTTAAAAGTGTATTTAGACATCTTTGTTATCTTTGTAAATGAAAGTACTGTATATGTTAGTTGATCTTAACTTGGTAAATGTTGAATTCTGATTAGTCAAAGCTGTACAAACACAATTCATTGTTTGTAAATTAATAAACTAACATTGAAGGGCTTTGAAGTGTGCATTTTAATTCATTGTTTGGCATAAACATTGAAAAAAAATGTATGGCTGAAAGAAAAAAAAAACTAAAATCGCCATTTTGTTGTAATTACAAAGAGCTGTAATTTATTGAACTATGTTTGGTCACACCATAGAACCGTTTTAAGATTTGGCTTAAACATGTAAAAAATCAAACTAATAAAAAAATTATAATTTTAGCCATTTACTAATTTTTTAACAATGACAATATTAATTATATTAATTTCTGTCACAATAGCCACTTGTAAAATTAAGCTTGAGCTATTTATTAAAAATTTTTATATTTTCTTTTTAATTCATAAGAGTTTAAATTGATTGAACTTGGCTTAAGATGGTCACACCATAGGACAGTTTTAAGATTTGGCAAACAAAAAACAAACAAAAAACCCATCAAGACAGTGGTTTGCATTGTCACCTCACAACCAGCATCGAGGTTACTGGTTCGAGTCCCGGCTGGACCAGTTGCCATTTCAGTGTGGAGTTTGCATGTTCTCCCCATTTTTGCGTGGATTTTCTTTGAGAACTCCGATTTACCCCACAGTCCAAAGACATGCGCTATAGGTGAATTGAATAGGCTAAAATTGTCCATAGTGTATGAGTGTGTATGTGAATAAGAGTGTTTATGGGTGTTCCCCAGTACCAGATTGCAGCTGGAAGGGCATCCACTGCGTAAAACATATGCTTGAATAATTGGCGGTTCATTCCGTTGTGGAGACCTTTAAGTCAGAGACTAAGCTGAAGTAAAATGAATGATTGAATGACATCCAGATTAAATGTTTAACTTTTACTGAATCTCAAATGATGACAATACTAACTATATTAATTTCTGTCAAAATTGCCACTTGTAAAATTAGGCCTGAGGTATTTATTAAAGATTTTTGGATTTTCTTTTTATTTAATAGGAGTTTAAATGTATGGAAATGTGCTTGAGATGCTCGCACCATAGCACAGTTTAAGAGTTGACTTAAACAAACAAACAAAAAGTTTTCAATAAATATTTAACCATTTACTGAATTTTAAATGATGAAAATACTAATTATATTAATTTCTGTCATGTATGACAATGAAATAATGCCTTATCACAACAACCTGTTTATAGGGACGCATTATAGGCTTGAATTACACACCTAGACACTAAAGCCTGGTTTATACTTCAGTGTCAAGTGATCGGCGTGCATTTATACTTCTGCACGCTGTTTGTGTTGCTCTGCAATAACACTTCAGAAATGCTAGCTGACAGTAGGTGTTTATGTTCCTCTGTGTCGAGTTTTTTCGCTGGTGTTATGTCTTTTTCTGAACGCTACCTTAATGTACAAGTGGCTCAAACTCACTCATTTTGAGGCGGGACCTGGCGGACGTGCAACAATTGTAAGGTAAACACAAAGCAACAGTCTCCATCTGGAGCTCCTTCACGAGACTCCACACTTGTAAACACTTGCTCCATCGGGCTCGCGTGGCTCTCACCTCTGCCCACACTCATCAGCACTACAAAGCCTACCAATTACAGAGCTTTCACTGCGAATCGTTACGGCGAGTAGTTACATTTTTTGAGAGGTGCACATCAGCGTCACCGACGGCCACGGCGAGGGCTATAGTCTACGCATAGGCTGCGCCGTAGCTTGACGTAGAAGTATAAATCAACCTTAACGGTTTAACCTGTTCTCTTCTTCTCACTTGATTTCCAATAATACTGACTTAACAAGAATGATGGTTGTGTCAAGTACAAGTTATAGATCATGGGACTCAAACTGGATTCCTAAAGAGCCGCAGCTCTGCACAGTTTTGCTCCAAACCTAATCAAACACAGCTGATACAACTAATCAAGGTGTTCAGGTCTACTAGAGACTATTAAGTAGGTGTGTTGAAGGTGGTTGGAGCTGAACCAGAGCTGCGACCCTCCAGGAATTGAGTTTGACACCACTTTTATAGATGATGTGCTTTGTGCTTGAATAATCCTTTTGTCATCACTTACAAATATAAATGCGTGTCTGTCTTTGTGTGTGAATGGTTTTCTGCAGTTGTTTGATCACATAGTGCACTGTATCGCTGACTTCTTGGAGTACATGGGGATGAAGGGGGCTTCACTTCCTCTTGGATTTACCTTCTCATTTCCCTGCCATCAGGACAAACTTGACCAGGTACTGTACAGTACAAACATACACACGTTTACCTGTCCAGCTATCTACATGTGGATCAACTTGTTAGAAATATAGATTTCTTTTGTTTCAACTCAAGGTTTTGTTGTAATTGAAAACATACCTTGGCTTTTGTGACCAGTCACGTTTTGAAAACTGACAAGTTTAGCCATCTCAACAACATTCTCTATGGTTGAAGAGGATAGTTCCATCTATCTGATCAATTTCTCTTAATCCTTCCAAATGGTATCTAATAATATAGCTAATACTTGATACATAGTGATTCATAAAAATACAGGGTGGGAATGACCAATTCCCAGTAGCAAACTTGGTTTGATGGTTTGGCCAAAATTGATGGCCGTGCATCAATTGCATCAAAGCGAACAAGTCTTTTTTGGATTTTCTAAACCAGTTTATTTGGTGTAATCAAGGTATAAAAAGGTATAAAAGTGAATATGGATCCCTCTGAGGGTGTTTTTAAAGTGCAGGTTTAAAAAACATGCCTATTAGAAAAACAAATATACCTGAAAAAAAAAATGTTTTAAATAAAATGATACAAAAGTACATAAACAAATACAACATGCAAGCATAATGTTTTATCATGCGCTTAGAATTAATTTTTAAAAAACAATTAATTTTACATACAGACTTCGACTGTATGGCCAATACACTGTTTTAAACATGTCACAGATGGGATGGTGCAGTTTACCCTTGTATTACTTATTTATTCGTCATTTATTTATGCTGCTTTGTCAGTGTACAGTACATATACGCTCACCAGCCACTTTATTAGGTACACCTATCACACTGTTTTACAATGCAAATTTCTAATCAGCCAATCACATGGCAGCAACTCAATGCATTTAGGCATGTAAGCAGGGTTAAGATGATCAGCTGCAGTTTAAACCGAGCATCAGAATGGGGAAGACAGGTGATTTAAGTTACTTTGAACGTGGCATGGTTGTTGGAGCCAGATGGGCTGATCTGAGTATTTTAGAAACTGCTAATCTACTGGGATTTTCACGCCCAACCATCTTAGCAGTTTACAGAGAATGGTCAGAAAAAGAGAAAATATCCAGTGAGTGGCAGTTCTGTGGGTGCAAAATGCCTTATTGATGCCAGAGGTCAGAGGAGAATGGCCAGACTGGTTCCAGCTGAAAGAAAGGCAACAGTAACATAAATAACCACTCGTTACAACCTAGGTATGCAGAAGAGCATCTTTTTACTCACACTATACGTCCAACCTTGACGCAGATGGGCTAAAGCAGCAGAAGACCACACCAGGTGCCACTCCTGTCAGCTAAGAACAGGAAACTGAGGCTACAATTCGCACAGGCTCACCAAAATTGGAAAATAGAAGATTGGAAAAACATTGCCTGGTCTGACCATTTCTTCTCCATTTCTGCTGCAACATTTGGATGGTAGGGTCAGAATTTGGCATCAGCAACATGAAAGCATGGATCCATGGTTGTATCAGTGGTTCAGGCTGGTGGTTGTGGTGGTGGTGTAATGGTTTGGGAGATGTTTTCTTGGCACACTTTGCGCCCGTTAGTATCAAGCATTGTGTCAACGTCACGGCGTACCTGAGTATTGTTGCTGACCATGTCCATCCCTTTATGATCAGTGTACCCATCATCTGATTGCTACTTTCAGCAGGATAATGCTCCATGTCATAAAGCGTGAATCCTCTCAGACTGGTTTCTTGAACATGACAATGAGTTCACTTTACTCAAATGGCCTCCACAGTCACTAGAGCTCAATCCAGTAGAGCACCTTTGGGATGTGGTAAAACGGGAGATTCACATCATGTAAAGCCGACAAATCTACTGCAACTGTGTGATGCCATCATGTCAACATGAACCAGAATCTCTGAGGAATATTTCCAGTACCTTGTTGAATCTATTCCACGAAGGAGTTCTGAATGCAAAAGGGTGTACAATCCGTTACTTGTTAGCTGTACCTAATAAAGTGGCCGGGGAATTTTACACTGAACTGCTAATGCATATGGTATGGTATTATGCAATATTCAATGTTTTTTTTCCCATTATGCTTGTTGCTACAAGTTACTTTTTTTCCAAGTTGATTTTGTTTTGTACAGCCATATGATTCTGATTGACATTTTTTTTTAAAGGGTATCCTGATAAAGTGGACAAAGGGCTTCAAGGCCTCGGGTTGTGAAGGAGAAGATGTGGCATCCTTGCTGAAAGATGCCATTCATCGCTGTGAGGTCAGAATGAGCGCTCGCCGCTGCTAGCACAGCATGGAAGCCATTTCTGCACTTATTAACCACAATTACCCAGCCTTTTATAACAAGATGTAATTAGTAGATGTTCAGTCAGGCGAATCGTGTCCCGAAAGGCAGTCATGGTGGATTTGCTTTGCTCTGGTTTGCTGGTAATACCTCCGTCTGTCTGTGTCTTTTATTTCTTAAAGGAGTTTGATTTGGACGTAGTGGCTGTGGTGAATGACACTGTGGGCACGATGATGACCTGTGGGTACGAGGACCCGCAATGTGAAGTTGGACTTATTGTGGGTATGTGTGTGTGTTTGTGTTTTTGGATTTACACTCCTTTTATTTAGTCTTTTTTGTTATATTAAACAGGGTGTTTGCTGGATCTTAAAATGTCTTTTAACTAAATTTTAGGCATTAAAAAGTCTTAAATTCACTGACCTGTTGTGTTGTAGGTCTGAAATAGTTTTCAACATGTCTTAATTTTGCTTTGTCCAAGTAAAGGTACTGAATTGGGCTGACATCTATTCAATAACCAACAATAAATCTCAATGAAACTTTATTTTTTATATTTACGTTTTTTTATTGCAAAGATATACAATTCACAACAGCTGTTAGACATTTTGTTTTCACAGTAAATTCTCCAAATTAGATTCCCTAATCAGGGAAAAAAAACAATTACACGATTCCTCATTATAATACTGGGCCATTATAAGCTCAAAATGTCTTTCTTAATGGTCTTAAAAGGGTCTTAAAAGTCTTACATTTGACTTGATGAAACCTGCAGAAACCCTGCTTCCCAAGTGAACGTTTAGTTGTGACTCAAATGTAGTAATTTGTACAGAATAACTGGTAACACTTTAGAATAACTATCCATTATAGCTGGTTAATAGTCTGTTAATGAACTGTTAGTTAATTAGATTGACTTGTTAAAAGTTAATAGTTTAATTATTTATAGCTGTGCCTTATAGATAGCCAATAGATAATATACAAGCTGTTAGTTAACAAGTTATAAATGACTTGTTAACTGTATTTTAGTAATTTATAGCCATACCTAATAAATTAGTAACAGATCATGAACAAGCTGTTAGAAAATTACTTACTAAAGACTTTTTAAGTATCAGTTAATAGTTTATATATGTAATTGGGACAATATTCTAGTTGCAACTATTCTTTATTTATAAACTGTTAGTAAACGAGCAATAGTTGCAACTAGAATAATGTCCCAATAACATACATAAGCTAATAACTAACACTTATGTAATATATAAACTCGCACTTCACAGATCAATTGTTCACCATCTAATAACACCAGTGAAACTTTTGTAGAACTTTTCTAATAAAATACATTTTTACTTATTTTGTTTTCATGTTTAGCACAAAAAGTGCCCAAACCTCAGGGCCAGACGGAATCTGCGGACGTTTTTTGCTATTTCTGCAGAGAATTTTGGTAAAAATCTGCGGATTTCTGCAGAATTATTTTGGGATTATCATAACTAAAAACTTAAATGTGAAATAAAAAGTAATACCTTTTAAACTTTTATTTAATGTTTGAATTGCAAATCCAATTAGATCCACTTTATTTGGTAAACAAAGCAAGTCTCTCATATATCTACTAAAAGACTAAAAAAAACTATTACTGTACAAACTGCATTGTATATAAATCAGATGAACAATTTCATATTAGTCAATAGTATTACTGTAATTAATTAAACTAAAATAAATTTAGATTTACACACATTTACTCAAGTAAATAAACAGAATTAATGATGGGCTAAAAATTTGCAGATTTCTGCGCGCGCAGATTCCGTGTGGGCCTACTCATGGGTTTGTATTTTGCTGTGTACTGCTGTTCTGCCATGTGATGACTCAGTATGTGTGTTTCTATACATTAAACACAACGTTCAACATTTCATCATGTGGAGTTTCTTTGATAAAATACTGCACACAGAAAAGTCTATGAGTGGAACAAGGTTAAGGTAAAAAAAAAAAGTTCTATTTTAAATATCACATCAAATTTCTGTAGCTTGCACTTGTTCCATCCCTTTGTGGTTCTACAAAGTTTCACTGGTATAAGTAGATGGTTAACAAACTATGAACAACTGATCTGTAAAGTGAGTTAATATATTAGATAAAAGTTAGTTATTAGCTTATGTATGTTATTGGGACATTATTCTTTTTTTTAAATCAATGATTCATGATATTTCTCTCAAATTTACACAACAATGTCCAAATGTTGATTTCTAACGGCATGGAAATGTGCTTTTTTATTATTGTTTTGATGAAATCTCAACTAATGCATGAAGAGGGGTGTGACAGTGTAGCTCCTCGCCTTTATAAATCAACCAATAGTGCTTCTTTTTTTATCCCTGCTCTGCTCCTAAGGGGGGTTGAACTTGAGCACATCAAATAAAAGTAAATGAGAAACATCTTAAAGAGGGATATATCAGACACTAGAGAGCAATTTGTATTACCTGGGGGCTCCTGGAAGGTGCGAGCGCACGTCACTTCCAATATGCGAGCCCAAGCAATGTGCCCTCATTTGAAATATCGAACTTGCGCACAGAACAGATGCGATATGTAAACAGCCCTAAGGCCGCCATCATTTGCGATCTCCAGCAGTTGATCTTCTTGCACGGACATGCTGGATTCACCTGATTTGTTGACAAAAGGGTTGGAGATCAATCCTTGGCAAAGAAACTTTTCAGAGTCATCTGTTTCTTTCTCAATTTTGCTTTCTTGTGGGTTAAATGTTGGCCCTTAAATGACTGTGAATGTAACCCAGAGAATACAGTAATTTTTCAAAATAAAAGATCGTTCGGACCCAGATAATAAATAAAACAGAAATATTCATTGATTTCCTGTGCGGCTCAGTACCAATTAGCCTGGGGGTTGGGGATCACTAAACTAGCTGATAGATGTAGATTGAGACTTAATTTTAAAAATAAAAATAACTATTATATATTGATTATTATATATTATTATAAATTTTTTATCATAATTTTTTTTTTTTTTACTGAAATGTGAAATCTTTCATCGGCTGTCATTAAATGCAATATTATTTTTTATTTAATAATCTAACACGGCATTAATTTTTAAATTGGTATATTTTATATGTTTACGTGTGCATCAGACATCATGATGTGTAGTTAAATGCGTTATGTCTATCCTATAGGTACGGGAACTAATGCGTGCTACATGGAGGAGATGTCAAACGTTGAGCTGGTGGATGGAGATGAAGGCCGCATGTGTGTGAACATGGAGTGGGGGGCATTCGGGGACCAAGGGGAGCTGGATGACATTTGGACAGAGTTTGATCGAGCTGTCGATGACCAGTCTACTTACCCAGGGAAACAACGGTGAGAGTTCAGACTCAGATCTTTCATGCAATGTTCATGTCATCTTTCCCATTCCAGTCCTGTGGGCTTTTAGATTTGAGCTTCAGAATGGCGAATCTCCTCTGAAAGTCTGATGTTTGAATCTGTTCAGAATCATCACTTCATTTTTTTTTTTTTTTTCTGGCTTCCAGTCACACATCAAATAGATTTTTAAAGTGCTATTACTTATTTATAGAGGAGTCAATAAAAATAAATTATGGCTATGCTCACGGAATGTAAAGCTAATGGATCTGAGATTATTCCATTCAGGTCAGCTTAGTATAATGCTTTGGGTTCGTTTTAAATATGATGAAACAGCGTTTAGCCGCTAAACTGCTCACAGGAGGAAACTACTTCAAGAAGATCTCTGATGTGGGTCCCAGTGGTAGTCAGAGTCCAAAACCTTTTAAAAATCTTTCCATTATCCATCCTAGGAGTAGTTTATTGATATGTTTTTTTTTTCTTTACTCAGGCTTACGTTTGATTATTTTTCATTTTTTCAAAGAAACTAAAAAGCTTTTTTTTTTCTTCAATTTTCTGCAGTTTCTTCCTCTTGCCAAGATAAAAAAAGTGGAAAATGTTTTCCAAACCACATTAAATATAAATAAAGGCAATGGCAAGGTTTTCAGATAAATTGGTGTATGGTGTTTACAAAGAAACTAATAAAAATATTAGAACAGTTTATTATTATTATTAGTTTATTAATTTATTTAGGAATATTTCTGTTCATGCATTTTATTTATTACAAACATTCTTAACTGAAGGGGACATTTTTCATTTGATGTTTTTATTTAGAGGAGGAAAAAGATAGGTTTGATAGGAGTGACATAAATAGTCAGTTATTACTTATGCAATTATGCAAATCTAATGCTTCTTTACACTGCATTGTTGTTTCCTTCATGACCTCTTATTTACAGACACTGGTAGTAATGTAATGGATCCCAAATGTTTTTGAGTCACTGATCAGATCATTTTTTGGATCCACAAAAAAAAGGGGGAGGCGATGTCATTTGCTTTTTATTCATGCAAAAATATTACTGCAAAACCCATTGGTTTTAACAAACATAACTTGAACCTGTAATTTAAATTAAAATAAATATCAAGAAAGAACCAGCTGGAAAATAAAGGAAATAATCGATAGGAAAAATGATCTTTGCTACTGTTGCTGATAATGCTAAATATAAAAAAAAATTATATCTACAACATATCATATTTATTTTCAACGAATGATTCAACAATTGACAGATACAACTTGATGTTTCAATAAACTGTAGGTGGATCAATTTTGAATAGCTATTCAGTAAAATAATTTTGATGGTTGTTTGTCGCCACCCATTGGTTATTTAATGTAATTACTAAAACAATCACCAGGATCAAGTTCCATTAAACAGTGATTTTAATCATTACCATAAACATTAATAAACATACGCAAATCATTGTCATTTATGTTGTGCGGGTTTGAATTTAGATTATAATTTGTTAATGATTAATTGTGCAGCTTTACACTGAATGCATTAATGTAGTCTGAACAAACAGTGACAGAAAACCTTTAATTAATAACCTAAGAAAACATTTAGGTAGGTCCCACCACAACTTTTCCCATCATCATTATATTTCATAGGGAAGCCAAAATGCTTTCATACACATGATTTGAATGACGTGGGAGGCGATCTCTCTCTGTTATTGTTATAAATGTTGGATTAACCTACAATTTCAAAAGAGTTATTATTCCACAGGTCACATGTTTTCTGAACTGTGGGTTGGTCTGTGATCCGTTACACCCCTAGTTGATGAATTAAACAACAAATTGATCTGGGCTCCATTCTTTTTTGCTCCCTTAAGATGATTTGGCCAATCCTGGATCTTTTAATCTTAATCACTGATCTCTGGCTAGTTGGGTTCTTCAAACGAGTTTAAAATAGATTACAACGTCTGGATGAACTGATCTAAGACTACTGTGTGTGTTGTAAAGGACTGATTTGTCGATCCTTAAAATAATGATCAGCAATGCAACGATTGGCTGACGGTACAGCAGCGTAATGAAATCATCGAATTAATATTCAAATATCCATGTGAGCAAAATGACATACAATTCGTAGTAAACAGTTTGTTAAATATGATACGCAACAACTTTCCACATTTGTTGTGAGCTGCAGGCTTTATACTTTCATTTGTTAAGAGTATTTAGCAATTTATGTAGTTTTACATTTAGAGCAGGTTGTCTTTAATATAGAAACCTAGGCCTATTCAATTTTCTTATTCATGGGAAAGGAATAACTAGCTGTTTAAATTAGTTTTGCATCAAAAAAGCTATATATTTTTAAACTACTTACTGTCTTTCAAAGTGTTTATAACTACTACTGTAAGATAGCAGATATCTGTAAAATATCAGAATTCTGTACTTTCTCTAATACCTTTGCTTGAAATGACCCGATCTAATCCTGTTTATATGAAATAAGCCTGCTCCCGAGCAGGTTTAAGGTACCAACTGTTGCTATGAACACAACTCTTGGATGACTTTTGAAAAACTAAACTATTCTGGATCATGTCAAATCGTCAGTAACCAAAACCAGCTAACTGAGTAATCCACATTTGAATAACCGATCCCTGATCTTCACCAATGCTCATTTGTTGATTGAATTATAATAATTATTATTATTATGATTATTATTATTATTATTATTATTATTATTATTATTATTATTATTATTATTATTATTATTATTATTATTATTATTATTATTATTATCATCATCATCATCATTATTATTGTAGCCTTTATTTTACCCGAAAAAATCACATTGAGATTACTAATCTTTTTTACAAGATTAAACAGTTTAGTGTCACATGGGTTTAAAAAAAAAAAAAAAAAAACAGATAGCATCATTAATCCATCAAATCACACATACAAGTGTAGTTTACATATAAACTAATTTCTAGAGCAGGGTTCACCAATCTCGGTCCTGGAGGGCCGGTGCCCTGCAGGGTTTAGCTCTAACTTGCCTCAACACACCTGCCTGGATGTTTCAAGTATACCTAGCAAGACCTTGATTAGCTTGTTCAGGTGTGTTTGATTAGGGTTGGAGCTAAAATGTGCAGGACACCGGCCCTCCAGGAACAAGTTTGGTGACCACTGTTCTAGAAGATCATGTGATTATGATTGACCATAAAAGGTCTCACATTAGCAATCACATGATACACCAATCAGATGAATTTGAACACGAATAAATAGCTGGATTTCCTTACCTTAGCAGTCTTCACCTTGAAGAATTGCCCATCCACCCCTACTTCTTTCCCTCTTTCTTAACTAAACGGGTAGGAGCTCTCGAGACCTACCTGAACTCAGACTCCACTCTCACTCAGTGAAACAAGAGGGAGCCCCAGGTTCGAGGATCTCCTAAGCTCAGCACTCTCTCTGGACAGCATGTCAAACTAGCTCCTACTTATTAATCATAAGCTAAGAGTGAACTTTTAAATGACAATTAAATCTACAGGCCAATGTTTCAAATTCAAAATCATTGAAACTCCGTTAAAATTTCAAGACAGTAGCTTTGTTTGCAATGTGCATTGATAAGACTATAAGCCTAATCCAAATTCTATTTCATACCCCTACTCCTTGGCACTTGAAACAGACTGTGGAATAGGGAAGGGATATAAATAATCCTCTGACTAATGGGACACCTCTATTACACATCCACACTTCATCATGTCGCCACTAGTGCACGTTGTGAGCACCGCAGAGCGAGTGTTTTTAGTTCATTCATATGGAAGCTGATCATAATTATGCACCGTGTGAGCACTGACGCTAATCTTCCGTATAAATGAACTGAAAACCAAAAAAAACCATGAAAACCCTGCTCTCCAGCACCAAGACCGTTAATACTGTGGTTGCCCGAATTTAACGTACAGCTGAAATCATAATTTTTAGTCCTCCTGAATTATTAGCCCTCCTATATATATTTTTTTCTCAAATTTTAGTTTAACACATTTTTAAACATAATAGTTTTGATAACTCATTTCTAATAACTGATTTCTTTTATCTTTGTCGTCATGACAGTAAATAATATTTTACTAGATATTTTTAAGACACTTTACAGCTTAAAGTGACATTTTAAGGCTTAACTAGGTTAATTAGGGTTAATTTGGCAAATTAAGGTAATTAAGCAAATTATTATATAACAATGGTTTGTTCTGTAGACAATAAATATAAATATATTGCTTTTGAGGACTAATAATTTTGACCTTAAAATGGTTTTCAAAAAAAAAAAAAAAACTATGCTTTTATTCTAGCCGAAATAAAACAAATCAGACTTTCTTCAGAAGAAAAAATATAATAGGAAATTTCCTGGCTCTGTTAAACATCATTTAGAAAATAAAGTTGCAAAAAATAAATAAATAAATCACAGAACGGCTAATAATTGTGACTTCAACTTTGTTGTGGAATATTCTGCAGGGGTTATTAATGGCAGTGCACTAATTAAGGAAATAAGGAAAGTATAGTTTTTTTCTGCACATCATGACTATAACACATTAATGACATTATTAAAGTAATTAATCAGGTGATTGTTTGTAACAGAAATATCTTTTTTAAAAATGTATTAATTAATTTTTTTATATATATATATATATATATATATATATATATATATATATATATATATATATTTTTTTTTTTTTTTTTTTACATTTGTAAGTGTCATTCCTTTTTTTCAGCCATGTTTCTGCAGTTGCTGGTGTATTTAGGGAAATTTGTCATACACTTTCATTTGTAGTGTGGCCTTGAAAATCACACAACACATGCAAATAGTATGGAACACAACTGAAGTCTTTCAGGGGGACCCTAAAACATGAGAGACCCGGCTATTTAGGTTATGCTTATTAGTCTAATGATATAGAAAATATAAGGGATTAGTGTAATCAGAATGATAAAGTCCCCATGAACAGAAAGCTGCAATCGTTTTTTCCTTTTTTTTTCTTCATATTCTGATATTCCTAGAAAAACATAATTAAATAAGAAGACAGTGGTATAGGGCATGCTTTTTTTCTACTGAAAGCTAAATGGATGTAGTAAAGTAGGCATTTTATTCACAAAGATTAGGAAATAAGTTTTCGAACAGTTATTACAACATAAGACACCTCTAGCTTATTATTTCTGTTTGTTGTCAAAGCTGAGAGTTGAAGCAGCGTGGAAAAGTATGTTAGCCCTGGCCAATATCTCAAAATCACGTAATCTGATAATTTAACTGAAAACAAACAGGAAGTGCGTTTTCAGATTTCAATAAAAGTTTAGAAGGGCAAACTTTTTTTTTTATGACATGCACAAATGGATTGTTCCTCACAAAACTGGCAATGTGAGCTAACAAAATCATATGTTTAGTTTAGATTTCTTGGGGACTTTAAAATAAGCAAAAAAACTTACCTTTCAAACATCACCTACAACTTCACTGAGCAATAGTCACGGCTCAATAATCAAATCTCAGCCAGGTCCGTCAAATTTTAGGGTCCCCTTGAAACAATTGCGTTGTGAGGAAACGCAGCACATTTTTGTGTTTGCGTTGTGAGGATTCGCAAAAAGTACAGTGAGGGAAAACGGTGTAATTTGCAAGTTTGTCCTCTGGAATTAATAACAAAATAAAAAAAATTGAGTGGGAGAGTTTAGCTGATGCGGTTAACGCAGTGGGGTCTGAACATCGCACTGAGTGAATTAAAAAAAGAAATGGTCCAATGTAAAGGTGCAAGTTAAGAGGAGAAAATACATTACACTAAATACATTAAATACATTTCACTAGTTTCTCCTGGTGTTATTTGATTGTTATCACACATACAGTAACACATTTTTCAGATTGTATTTGTTTTGTTGTTGTATTGTTTGGATTTTTACCAAATCTGGCTCAACTCCATGTCAACAGCTCCTTTAGAAATATTACTCCCACTGTATGCTGTCACACCGATGATGATTTTTTCCTGAATAGCTGCCCTTTTTAATAATTGCATGTGTTTTCTTAAACTTCAGCATGTTAAGCTGTCTCTGCCACAATATCTTACCCCTATGACAATTGGGACACCCTTACCTCTTCAAATGTACAGGTAGATGAATGTAGGGGGTAGAATTGGGATTGGGCCTAGTTTTTATTATTTTTTTGATGTTACTTTTTTTAAACTCAAATTCTCAAAATTTAAAATAATTACATCTTGGCCAAATATTGTCCTGTCCTAACAAACCATACATCCCTGGGAAGCTTATGTATTAGTGTATAAATCTCAATTTAAATAAATTGCCACTTTTTGGCTTTATGGTTCGTGGTCGCATATTAATCTCCACCAAATGCTTTCTATTACTGCAGACTATAGGAATTTTACTCAGCGGTAATCATGTTGAGATCATACCAAAGCATGTCGTCTGTGTTGTGGTCAGAGCTCTGGAGTGAGTAGGCCATGCCAGGTGGTGCGTTTTCTTCTGTTTAAGCCAGTCTGTTGTTCGTTTACTCATGTGCTTTGGGTTGTTGTCCCGTTGCATCACTCAGCTTCTGTTGAGATTATTCGGCGGACAGATGTCAGTACATTCATCTGCCAAATGTCCTGATTTTTCTATTGTCAATGGCAATCTGTCCAGCCCCAAGGCAGCCATCAAAGCAGCCCCAAAACCCTGCTGGCCTCCACCAGGCTTTATCGCTGGGATGAGATTTGATGTTAGTTTGCTGTGCAGGCACAACACATTATTGAATTATTCAATAGATAAACTAGTGTTCAACTGTAATTTTTTGAACTTTAATGCATTTTAACATTATTATTATAAATATATTTGGTAACACTTTTTAATAGATACACACTATGGATCATTTATTAAGCGTTGGCAAATAGTGAATTCATTATTTAAGCATTAACTCTACCTTAATAAACAGTTTATAAATACATCTGCAATTGCTGTATTTTTGACTAATATTTACCGGCCACTTTATTAGGTACACCTTACTAGTACCGGGTTGGACCCCATTTTGCCTTCAGAGCTGCTCTAATCCTTCATAGAATACATTCAACAAAGTACTGGAAATGTTCCTCAATATGAAGATGTTGGTCCATATTGACATGATAGCATCACACAGTTGCTGCAGATTTGTCGGCTGCACATCCGTGATGCGAATTTCCCATTCCACCACATCGCAAAGGCGCTCTATTGGATTGAGATCTGGTGACTGTGGAGGCCATTTGAGTACAGTGAACTTATTGTTATGTATAAGAAACCAGTCTGAGATGATTCACGCTTTATGACATGGTGCGTTATCCTGCTGGAAGTGTGTGTATCACTCTGTGGTCATAAAGGGATGGACTTGGTCATCAACAATACTCGGGTAGGCTGTGGCGTTGCTCAATTGGTAATAATGTGCCCAAAGTGTGCCAAGAAAATATGCCCCACACCATTAAACCACCACCACCAGCCTGATCTGTTGATACACGGCAGGATGGATTCATGCTTTCATGTTGTTGACGCCAAATTCTGACCCTATCATTGGAATGTTGCAGCAGAAATCGAGACCAATCAGACCAGGCAACATTTTTCCAATCTTCTTTTTGTCCAATTTTGGTGAGCCTGTGTGTATTAGTAAACTAAATATGAAGAAATGTAATTTCTTTAAGTGCTGTGTTGCTCTTATGCTTTGTTGTTTTGCATTTTTTTGTTTCCTTTAGTGTTTTGTTATGTACAGACACAGGAAATTGTGGACTTAAAGCAGTCAATTTAAAAATTGCTCTTAAAATTGATCTAGTTTTAATCAATAGTTGCTGTCTATATTGAAAAAAACTACCCTACTGTTTGGGAATAAAGAATCGGCAAAAAATTATTTTTCTTTCTTTCTTTCTTTCTTTCTTTCTTTCTTTCTTTCTTTCTTTCTTTCTTTCTTTCTTTCTTTCTTTCTTTCTTTCTTTCTTTCTTTCTTTCTTTCTTTCTTTCTTTCTTTCTTTCTTCGGTTTAAACAATAGAGTGGACACTATGTTGTGAGGTTTTACAGTTAAATGAGGATGAGCACCCTCAAGTCACCATTAACTAAAAGACTTGGGGATTTCCAATGTAGAATTTTGCGTGGTGCTGTTGCAGTTACCTTTTATTTCAATTTTAAATCCTGACATTGGTCACAACTGCCTTTTCAGCTAACATAGAGAAACTGTTTTTTATACATTTAGGCAATGTTTCAGACTTTAGTCTTTGCTTACAGTTTAAAAAAAGGTTTTTGTGTCTTTTGGAGAAACTTTGTCCACTAAAATTTTCATTTGTGGGTTCAAATGTTCAGAGGAAATGTTTTAAATGTCAACTTTTTATTTTTTTATTACAAAAGCTAAAATGGTGGTATATAGTATTAGAAAGCAAAATATTGAAGGGAATTTTGAGTTACAACCTTTTTTTGCAGCATTTTTTTTTTTTTTTACTTCTGTCAAATCAAGGATTTTTTTAAGCTATGGATGATCTTTCTTCTATGTATGTGGTATTAATATGGCTTATTTTTCATCTTTCTTTTTTTTTTTTTTTTTTTTAGTTTTTCTTAATTGAGTTGACCATTTGTCTTTTTGGAGACTGCTGAACACATCAAACCGTTTCAGATTCCTTTCAATGTAACCAAGTCAGACATTACAACAATTACCATAGAAACTAATTCAACCAGTTTCTTTTTTTAATGATTTCAGCGAGGTGTTTGTACATCTCTTGTACATTACACGGATATACTCTACATAAATAGAGTGAAATAAAAATAGCTAAATCCCCCGTAACTGACAATTATCAGTGTTTCAGTAGTAGTAATATTAGTAGTAGTAGTAGTAGTAGTACTAAACTTTATTGTCCTTAAAAGGAAATATGTTATGGGACATACAATAAAATAATACAAAAATACAGTAGTTATAATAATAATAATTATTATTATTATTATAATTAAGATAAACTCTTGTTAAATAAACCAATTGAAATGGGTACAAAAGATTTCTGGTATCGGTTCAACCTACACTACCAGAGGGAATCTGTTCATAATGTGAATGCAAAAAAAAAAGTATTGAATCATGTTTATAATGTATAATTATTATGAATTACTAAATCTGTCACTGTATGCATTATTTAGTGAGAAATATTTTGTGTCTCTTTTAGATATGAGAAGATGATCAGTGGGATGTATCTTGGAGAGATTGTCAGAAATGTCCTGTTGCACTTTACTGCCAAAGGTCTGCTTTTCCGAGGCAAACTTTCAGAGAGACTGAAAACTCGCGGGATCTTCGAGACCAAGTTCTTGTCGCAGATTGAAAGGTTTGTTTGTCAAGATTACCTATTTGAATAGTTAGCATTGGCTAGAGCAATTGAAAATTAGGAGATAGTACATCCAGCCGGTTTAGGCAGAATATGGCTGTTGTAGAAGACTGAAGTGCTTTATTCTGTAACAACAACAACTTCCTTTGTGTTCTTTATGCCACTTATTACACTGGTATTGCCACAAAACATAAAAATTAAAAGACATAGTTTTAAGTAATTGTTTATTAGAATGACGCTAAAGATTCAAAAACAGCTGGGTGACAAACAATAATATAAATGGATGTGAACATTAGGTAAGGGATAACATTTATTCAACCGGTTATGGTTAAATGAAGGCTGACAGGTTTATTAGTCTATTGTATGATACTGAATGGCTTTATTCTGTGATAACAACTCCCTGAGTATTATTTATCCCACTTATTACATTGGTATTGCCACAAAACATAAAGTATAGACAGAAAACATTGTTTCAAGCTGTACTTGTTTATTAATGTTATTTAAGCATACACTAGCCCTAGTATTATTCAGTAACAAGATGGCGCTAAAATGTCAAAACAGCTGGGTAACAGACAAGCATATAAATGGATGTCAATGATAAGTAAGGGATAAAATACATCCAGCCGGTTATGGCAGAATAAAGGCAGACAGGTTAATTAGTCTGTTAGATGAGACTGAATAGCTTTATTCTGTTTTAACAACTGCCTGGGTGTTCTTTATCACAATTATTATATGGGCATTGCCACAAAACATGAAAATTAGAAGACATTTTTTAAGCTGTAATTGTTTATTGACTCTTTAAACACAAAGATGACTGAAACAAAAATGGCTGAATGGACCATATGCTACTTATTATTCAGTAACAAATAAATTGATGTGAATGTATTCACTGACGCACAAGATGATTTAAAGGACCCACGAGCCTGTGTTATTAGTTTCAGCAAGTGTTATCATGGAATAACTTACTTTGGAATGACTGACCAATTAGAATGAAGTATTTCATGTAACATACTCAGTATAATTTTGTGCCTCATAGCAGAGCCAGATGGTGCTGCTTGTTTCTCTGCGGTCGTATCTGTTCATGCAAATTGAGTTGAACAGCAGTTCAGCGTGAGCTTATGTTTGTCCACATGTGAATAAAAGTTTGATTGACCCTGCAACAGCTTCAAAGAGAAGTGCTTGAATTAAGTGAAGAACACAAATATTTCTGTAATGTAGTTTAAAGGCATATTAAACAGCTCTGAGGTTTTCAATATCACCATCAACAAGAACAACACTGTGCATGGACAATCCACATAAAAGAGGATAAATATTATGGTGTATGATTGGAAAACACACATACAGTACAGTTTAATGCAAAAGTTTGGTTAGCCCTCTGTGGCTGCATAATAATGTCCTCTTTCTTTAGTAGAGAGGACCACATTGAAATGTCATTCGGCTTCTAGAGAAACCTAGATAATGTCATTGTGTAACAGTATTAAGATGTGTAAAATTAAATTGAGGCTATGCAAAAGTTTGTGCACCATCTCTTTTGTGTGGATTTCAAAACCTGTAGTCACTTAATGCTGATGGATTACAACACAGAATTGATTTGAGTGACTCAGTGAACCTTAACAATCATAACACCGGTGTCACCGATCATGACAAAATATATTTAAGATAGCTGATTGCTAGCTGTGCTTCCCCGTATTGTGAACCAGAAAGTAGAAACAATGGTTCTTGAAAGATCTTCTTAATTAACTAAAAACTAGTAATATTTACCAACATTATTTAGGAGAAGGATGCAAAAAGCTCTCAAAGAGTCTTACTATATTTTACAGTCAGAAATATAGTAAGAAAATGGAAGGCCTTAGGAACAGTTCTGGTGAAGGAAAGATGTGGTAAGCTAAACAATATCTGAAAGGCAATGGCGAATAATGGTTAGGATGATGACAAACTAAGCACAAACCACTTCCGAAGAGCTCCAGGAATGTCTTGCTGCTGATAATGTCATTGTAAATCGTTCAACAATTCACTGCACCCTTCATAAAGCAGCTCAATGGAAGGTGATTGCAGAAGAAGACTTTTCGGCATTCTGCCAACAAGAAGAGTCATTTGAAGTATGCAAAGGCTCATCTGGACAAGCCTGAATCATTTTGGAAAAATATACTGTGGACAGATGCCACAACCATAGACACTTTGCATGAAGAAAAAAGAACACAGCATTCAAGGAGAAGAACCTGCTTCCTACTGTAAAATATGGTGGAGGGTCCATCATGCTGTGGAGATGTGTAGCAAGCACAGGTACTGGGAACCTTGCCAGAGTTAAAGCTTGCATGGTTCCACCCAGTATCAGCAGATTCTTAAGAACAATGTTCAGGAATCAGTCAAGAGGCTGAAGTTACCACAGGGTTGGATGTTTCAGCATGACAATTATCCAAAGCACAGTTCCAGATTAACCAAAGAATTCATGCTCGGACACGATACAAAGATCTAGAATGACCATCCCAGTCCCCAGACTTGAACATCATCAAAAATCTATGGATTGATTTGAAAATGCTTTGTGCCCATCAAACCTGACTGAACTGGGGAAATTTGCAAGGAAGATGCCTTCAGCTAAAAATCAAGGACATCTTCCTGGCTATAAGAAGCATCTACAGCAGGGCTGCTCAACCCTGTTCCTGGAGAACCCTGTTCTCTACCTTCCTGCAAAGTTCAGCTCCAACCCTGATCAAACACACCTGAACCAATTAATTAAGACCTGAACAGCATAATTACAGGCAGGTGTGTTTGATTTGGGTTGCAACTGAAATCTGCTGGAAGATAGTTCTCCAGGAACAGGGTTGAGCACTCCTCATCTACAGGCTGTTATTTCAGCAAAAGGTGGCTGTAAAGAATATTGTTGTCATCATTCTGTTGAGGTGCCCAAATTTTTGCACCTGTCTGTTTTTGTTATGATTTGAATTGTATTGCATATGTTTATTTAATTAAGTGTTATGACAGAACTGAAATGTTGCTTTTCCCTAGGGTATTAAATAAATGCTAATTAAACTGCTGCTTTGAAAGGCCAGCAGACTATGGCTAGATATTCTAAAAAATATCAGGGGTGTCCAAGCTTTTGCATGAAACTGTATGATTTTCATTATATTTATAATATTATTGTACATATTTGCTTCATTACATGATGAGATAATATTATGGTAATTGCTGTTATTAGGCTATAAAACTTGTATTTATACTTGGGCTTGAGATTTTGACACATTTTTTTTTCAATTCAATATAATTCAATTCCTCTTTAGTTTTATAGCGATTTTACAATGAAGATTGTGTCAAAGCAACTTAACATAAAAGATTATAGTAAACTGACACTCTGTCAGTCCAGTTTTCAGAGTTTAATCATACTACAAACCTTATACATGTATTTTTGTAATAGTACAAATCTTATCATAATACAAACCTTATACAGTAAATACGTGTCAACATGTTAATGAGGTGTTGTGTGATTTATATCTATGATTTAATACAAGTTTTATAAATAATTAGAATTATAAATATTACCTCAGATTTGTGAAGTGTACATCTGGTTGACATTTGTTTGACGATCAAGGAGTAGCTTTACTTCCAATAAATATCTAGTTTGATTTCTATAAATGCACTTGAAAGAAATAGAAGATTGACATTTATTGTGATTAATTATTCAAATCGATCTACGAACAATTATATTTTTTGTCATTATCATCCAGCTTTCTACCTGAACCCTTATGGGGCTTTTGCGCTTCTTAAAAAAATGACATTCAAATGCTAAGCACGCCGATTATGTCCAAAATTATTTGATAAGCCTGAGGCGTCTTTGGCATGAATAATTAGATTATGATTAAACCTAAAACAAAACGGCACAGCGGTAATATTCAAACCTGCGAAATCTGGCTTGATTTTTGCATATCTTTCTATTTATATTCCATCTCGGTTTATTGGGCTTTGGGGCAAAATATCGCCACTGTGTCTGTTAACCTTGATTTAATTACATTTTTGTCCTATGGAAGGAGAGATGCAAAGATATGTTTGTATTTGACTTTCGATTATTATTATTATCAGTCAAATTAATCGAGCTCTCTTTTGCAGTGATCGTTTGGCATTGAGGCAGGTCCGCTCCATCCTGCAGCATCTGGGTTTGACCAGCAGTACATGTGACGACAGTATTCTTGTGAAGGAGGTTTGCAGCGTCGTGTCCAAACGGGCAGCACAGTTGTGTGGAGCTGGTCTGGCAGCCGTGGTGGATAAAATCCGTCTGAACCGTGGCCTCAATCAGCTCAGCATCACAGTTGGAGTGGACGGCACGCTCTACAAACTTCACCCACAGTGAGTGATCACACAGCAGGATGCTGGTGTTAATGCAATAGATAAAACCACAATCTTTATTGCAGATAATTTATTGTCTTTATTAAGAGACAATATAATCTCTTACAAGAGTGTCCTGGCCAAGATGAGCTTTCAAATTGGCAAGGTAGGACTGCGATTGGAGAAAAAGAAAAACATAGATTTTTAAATTTAGTTTTTCTGCTATATATTTTGTAATATGAATACAATTATACCATTGTTTGTTATGATTTATATATAAATCTTTTTATATATATATATATATATATATATATATATATATATATATATATATATATATATATATATATATATATATATTGCCATGTGAAAGAAACCTAAATAACAAGCTGTGAAGTGGCAAAATGCCAAGGAAAACTTGATTTAACTGAAAGAAATTTTGACAAACTACCTTATTATACAGTGTCAGTCATACAGTGGGGAAATGAGTATTCAACACGTCACCATTTTCCTCAAAATATGTCTAAAAATGCTGTTGACTTGAAATGTTCACCAGATGTTGGAAGCAACCAGCGAAATCCATATGTGCAAAGAAAACAAAGTTGATTAGTTTACAAATTAAGTTATGGTTAGGGCCAGACGGAATCTGCGGGCATTTTTTACTATCTCTGCTAAGAATTTTGTAAAAAATCTGCAGATTTATGCGCAATGATTTTGACTAAAAACTTAATATATGAACTAAAATTTAATGCATTTTAAACTTTCATTCAATGTTTTCAATGCAAATCCAATTACATCCATTTTATTTGGTAAACAAAACCAGTCTCATATAATATCTCTTCTAAAAGACAGAAAACAAACTGTATTGTAAATAATTTATATAAATACTTTCATAATAGTCAATAATATTACTGTAATTCATTTAAAAACTTAATAAATATACATTTACACACATTTACGCAATAAATGAAATCATTGATGGTCTAAAAATCAGCGGAAATCTCCAGAATTCTGATTGCGCAGATTCCGTGTGGGCCTGCCTATGACTCATTTGTGCTCTGACCACATTTGCTTGGTTGTACTCTATATCAATTTAGTATTTAGTCTTTTAAAATCTTGTTGTAATACATTGAGCCACTAAACAATGTTCTTATGACTTTCTTCTAAAGTAAAAAAACGCGAATTACTTCCAAACACTTCAGATATAGTTTGGTGTTGGTAAATGCAAGGCTATTGATGAAATCCAGGCATAACACTGCATGACTTCGTTTCAGATGACTGTTTTATAGCCCTCAGCTTATCAATCTTTCAGATTCGGGAGTGCTTTACAGGTCTGAACAAAATTATAAATGATAAAGTATCTTAAATAAGACAAATACATTCCTAGAGATGGTATATAAATATATAAGAATTTCACTCACCTGGGAAATATAGGCAACTTGAATGGCTTGTGAAACACAATTAAGTGCCCAGCATGCCATGTTATCTGATAATTGTAGGAAATAATCCCAAAAGGCAACTGACTTTGTAAAGCCACATAAAACAAAACAAAAAAACGATTTATATGCTGTGTTCAGCAGCTTATCAGCCGGAATCAGCTCAGGTGACTTGAAGTGGCCACGCCCTTAATTATGCAGACTTAAAAACAAAATAGATGAGTTATAAAAATTTCACCCCCCGCACAGTTGTCATAAAGGGTAATATTAGCTATATGCACCATATATAACCATATATAAAGCTATATCTTTTGTATCAAGCTGTAAACATGTTTTTATCAGCTATAAAAATGGCCAATTTAGCATAACAGTCAGAGGACATCTAGAGTTCCTGGAGCCAAGGCTAGTTAATGATTTGCAGTTTCAGTTACTTCCGTATTGGCTTTATGAAGGAGAGCAGGATAATGCCGCTTGGTTATTACACTTAACTTTTTTGTTTCGTTTTGTTTTATCTTTGTTTGTATTGTTTGGGTTTTCACCAAAATGTAATTAATGTCTATGTCAACACCACCTTTAGAAATATTAATCCCTAGAAAAAAACATGAAGTGTTCAATACTTATCCCCCAACTGTAAGTAGCATGGTGCAACAATTAGCAGTCAAATGTGAGAAATGCCATCTCATGCTCTCTGTCAGCTGTCTAAATGTTTGTTTCATGACGTTCACAACTCCAGCTATCTCATTACAGATCTAAAAGAAGAGTTTTCTGCTGGATTTTGAGCAAAATGAACTCATACCTCTCTCATATTTAAAAAATTAATGTTGTTCATCAACTTTTCCTCTCTGGAAACTGACATTCTCACCCATTCAATGGCTGTGAAGACTGTCACCCAATTACGGCAAATGTAAAACCATCAATTTTAGTTTAATTTAATGCAAGTCGCTTTGAATAAAAGCGTCTGCCAAATGCATAAATGTAAATGTTTTTCTCTGAATACTCAAGAAACGCCTTGGCATCTTTCCCAATCAAACATTGAAACTTTTTAAATAGGTTTTAAATCTCAGAACACTGTAGTTTAAAGCATGCAAGATGATAATAATATTTGCACACTGAAAATTGAGATCTAGTTAAATTATTGGTTTTCAGACTATGGCTGACATTCCGCTTGTAGCGCATGAGCTTTTGAGAGCGGCGTATAATGGAGAGAGGAAAAAGAGAATAGCTTGTGCATAACAAGAAAAAGATGAATTATGCCACAATAGCCCAGAATGACGGTGTAAAATTACCCCGTGCCCCATGGCGCTTGTTAATGTAGCAGATGTGTTCAAATTGAGCCATAAATCATAGAGATTACGGTATTTATGAGGTGTTGATCGATCACCCTAAAATGGCTATTAATCCGTAAAAAAATCTATGATCCCTTTGTGTTTAAGGAACAGCTGCTGGGTTAAGCTGTCTGAGCTTATTACAGCCTTTCTAGTTATTTTAAATTTAAAGCTTATACTGCATATTTTTGCCTTTATCTAGTCATTCATAAGCAAAATAAAGTGGAAATAATCATCACAGAGCACTGCTTCTTGCAAAGGGCTTATCTGTTAACGCGTACATTAATACTCGTACTTATCTGTTAAAATGTACAGTAATAGCTGTACAAAACTATTAGTCCTGTATAAGGAAATTCACTATTTTCCAAACAATGTCAATCGGGTGTTTTCATCTTTGTTTATAATTGATTAATACTAAATTAATTAAAAAACTGTATTGTTTAAACTACATTACCTGACTAAAGTCTTGTCGTTGATCTCAGTTGTAAGAGCATCAAATAATAACTTGACTTCTAGTTGATCATTTGGAAAATTGTCAGAAGGTAGAATTTTCAGATGAATCATCTGTTGAACTGCATCCCAATCATCACAAATACTGTAGAAGACCTATTAAAACCAGCATGGACCCAAGATTCTAACAGAAATCAGTCAAGTTTGGTCAAGGAAAAATCATGGTTTGGGGTTACATTTAGCATGGGGTTTTGCGAGAGATCTGAAGGGTGGATGACTACATCAACAGCCTGAGGTATCAAGACATTTGTGCTGCCCATTACATTACAAACCACAGGAGAGGGCAAATTCTACAGCAGGATAGCGCTCCTTCTCATACTTCAGCCGCCACATCAAAGTTCCTAATAGCAAAGAAGGTCAAAGTGCTCCAGGATTCTCCTCAAACACCAAATTGGCATATTGATTTCCTAAGAATTGTGGCTTTTCATCACTGTTACGACTTTAAAGTTTAGTGCTAGGGATTATTAAAGAGGTAACATTTTGATGTAACTTAATCTGTTGAGTATTGGTGAGCAAAATAGCAAACTGACAACCAAATATGATAAAAATAAGTGAATTTATTAACAAGAGGAAAAATATTTCAAGCAGCACAAATAATGTACAATTTGCAGTGTTTCTAGGGTGTCCGCAGGGAAATGTAAGGGCCTTCAAGTATTTAAAATTCCTAAATGCTATTTTGCAAGGTATTGAATTTGACATAATTTTTTTAAAAGTTTGCCTGAATTTACTCTGCGAATATCAGGATGCTGTGTAGTTTATGAAATCAATGATATCCTGCTAGATTTGACCTCATTCTGCTTTGTTTACTGCAGTAACCAAGGCAATACCATTATTTCTGCAATTCTATAGGTGCCAACCTGCTGAATTAGCTAGATTTAATAGATTTTTATTCAGTATATGAATGATGTTTTAGTTTTGGGTTCATTTTCTAAATGAATATTTAGTAGATATACTAGATAAGGTAAAATCTCGCCAGTGTTTGTGGTTGAAAAACTGTTATAAGGTATTAAAATGTTTGGAAAGAGTCTTAAAAAAGGTCTTAAATGGTATTGATTTGCACACAAAAGAGAAATAAATCAATTAATGTGTGTGATTAAGGGAAAGACAATTTCAAGCGGCACCAAATAAAAGAAAGCTTTATAACAAAAACCCCAAACTGGAAAAAATAAAAAAACTTTTAAACTGCTAAATAGAAAATAAACAACCAAAACCTCTTCAGCGTTTGCAAATAAAACTAATAGAGAGTGGTGCTCGCTTCTAATCTTGTGTGGGTTAGGGGCCAAACACACCAAATGCGCATTTACATTCCAAAAACGCAAGGCGCACTACTTCCTTTTTTGTTGACAAGAAAAAAGAAGCGCGGTGCGTTCTTGGTCACTAAGCAACAACCTAATCAGCTGGGTAATGTGCGAGAGTGTTGCTGTTGATATTAATATAGTTGTATTATATTTAATAATATTGTGATACTCCTCCATCTACAAAAGTCTCCGCTGTCTTGACAACACAAACACTGCTGACACTTCAACAAAAAACCCCGCCTCTGCTTTCTTTTGATTGGAGAATTAAAAAGATACGGCTGACGTAATACGCTTTTTCCGCTCAGAGATGAATTTTTTTCAAGTGCATGCGCGCAAGGGCAAAAACGCGAGGCACAGCAGGTGGTTAAAACGCAGCATGAAAAACTCTTGTAGTCAGTAGTAAACCATTCACAAAAGGCGCCTCTTAACTCTAAAAGCGCATTCGGTGTGAT